GTAATCTGTTACTTGAGTAGAGATTAGGACATCATTCATAAACCACCTCAACATTAGACTACAGTATAAGCTGATTAAGACAATATTATGTATCTCAAATATCAGCACCAATCTCTTTAAATAAATTATTGTTTCAGGTTGCTCAGTGGTTGAATCTGTACTAGTAAGAAGGCCTTGGCAGAAATTTTCTCACAGTTTAGGAAGTATTGGAACAGACACTCTAGACTTTGGCAAAAAATATTCTACATACCTGTATTTCAGAAATCACTTCCATTTTTGTATTGTCTCCCTATTCTACGACAAACATTCTCATTACAGTCAGTAACATATCTTCACTAGTATGTTCTTGGCAGAAGCACCTCCTAATGCAAGACTGCTTGTTTAACTTAATGGCATAGGAGCTGTGGCTTACGATCCGCACCCTGCTGCAGCTCAGCTCTTTCCAAAAACAAACAACCCTTGCCAAAGATGATAGAGGACCAGACATCACAGCGTATAGGCAAAAATATTTTTAAAATAAAACTGCTGGTTTTTAAGACTCTTAAAATTTATTGTCTGAAATGCTGTTGCTTAGCATAGTACATCACAACTAGAATAGGGCTATTGAATCAGTATTGCTTTACAGAGAGGTTGCCTCACCAAATCCCCACTGCTTTAGTGGGTCTACTGTAGTTTTGACTTATGACGCTAAGCACCAGAATTGCAACCAATGTGCAATGTGTTTTTTTTATATTGCTATTCAATTTCACGAAAATGTTCGCAGTCAGTGTTTCAGTGGCTTCCATCCGAATCTGTGCTATCGGTTCATTGATTAAATTTTATATGCCATGGTGCCCATTTGGACACAACTATTACTTAGATTGTTAACTATTAATTAAACTGAGAGTTGCAGTTCGTTCCTTGTAAGATGACAGGGACCACGGAAGGTTGTGAAAGAAGAAAGCAGAACACACATAAAAACGAACTTGTGCTTAATCAGTGAACTGTGGTATCAGATGGAAACGGTTGAAGACAGACTCCCAGACTTCAAATCAGACCTCTTACTGACAAAAATGTTCTCTTGATCTGTGATTTGTCTTCTTACCCGGAGACCTGGCGAAGGATAGCAATTTATTGGGATTTCAGTTGATGCCCTGAGACTTTCTAACCCTTCTCCCAACTCAGCCCAGGGAAGACTAAGCATTTTCACTGGGCTTGAAATGTCAGCTAACCTTTGTAGGGTTAGGGGCAGAAAAGACGGTGGGGGGCTAGAATCCTGAAGAAAAGCTTTTGATGTCTTTTGTTGCAGGTCTCTTTGTAAATGCCAAATGGGTGACCAATCTCTTGTGCTAGAGCTGTTATGTGTGTCTCTCCCCCCACCCACCCCTGTCTGATGAAGCCTTTGGCTTCATATCAAATGCCCTGTGAAAGTGATGAATTTGGATTCCAGCTAACAAGATTAGGAGATGGAAAGAAAGTGACAAAGAGATGATAGTGAATGGTGAGGAAAGGTGGTGGAAGCAGAAGTATTACGTTGGCTTTGACCACAGTGTTATGTCCAGTTATGTTTAACTTTACTGTTTTTATGGTAAGGGTACACGTATTGTTTCAAAATGCATTGGTTTAGTAAAAATATGATGGGAGGGTATAAGTGAGGAACATTGAATATTGGTGAGAATGGTTCTGATTGTTGGAGACAAACTTGGGAACAGGGTGGTTTTGAATAAGACAAGTGGAAGTTTGAGAGGGAGAGAGGTGATAGAGAGAATGAAGAACTGAGCTGAATTAATTTAAAGGCTAGGAATAAATACGGTAACATATTTTGGGCACTGTTATTTGATAAAACCTTCTTAAATTAATTTAAAAATGAGTGGTGTGGAGCTCAATACCCAAGAAAAGAGACCATTACCTAAATAGTTTAGTGACAAGACAAGAGTATATTTGATAGCAGTATATGAGAGAGGGGTAAAACACATATGCTACCACAGTCATCCACTGTCATCTGGCCCGCAGGATATCACCCCTAATGGCAAACAAAAAATAATGTTAATTGCCTTATGAGATGAACAGCTCAGAAATTGTGGGCATGATACACCAGTGTTCCTTGGCATTCACACTAGGAGAATTGGCAGTTTATTTCCCTCCTTCTCCTATTGCATCAAATAGTGCTACCTACCAAAAGCCTGTTTCAGAGGCTTCCCCAATCCCAGGGCAGGTTTTTAGGATATATATGGAGGCTTTGGGAGGAAAGGTGGTTGGAATCTCTAGTTCATGAAGAAATGGTGGAACCCAGTTGAATTGCTTACTTGGATCCTAGCCATAGTTTAAATTATGTGTTAATTGTCCAACAAATATAATGAGAAATTTATCAAACGTTTATCAGCTCAAATTTAAACCAAAATGGAAACTTAAGCTACAAATGAACTGGAACTGGAATTAACAGCAGATGATTCCCTGCAGGGAATGTGAGCTGGAAAAATGTCAGGGATTAACAAATGCACGGGAAATCTCTGAGCCTCTCAGAGATGAAACCTGACCTTTGATATTTGAAGAATACTTTGAACTTAAACAGACTATTAACATGGATCCCATATTTGTGAAACAGCAATATAAAAAGTCATAGAGTAAATCCCTGCAGGGATGAATGAACTGACACAGAGAAAAACAAAACAGAAAATGAAAAATGAGGAAGACCAGGCCAAGGCTGTACTGAAATATGAACAAGGATACTGTATATAATTAAACACACCTTTCAACTTCAGTGTATTTAAAGTTTAAATTCTGGACCTAGCACAAGAACGTGAAAAGAAATATTTGAAAAAGCCCTGCCTTGATACTATGAATAAAGTTTGACCTTGATTATTAATCTCCTCCCCTATTTACCTTCATAATTCACTACTTTGAGGAACAACATGTCAGCTCAAACCAAAGGCCTATTTAGTCCATAATTCTGTTCCCACCAGGTCCAACCAGGTGCCTATTAACAGAGGAAAATAAATAAATATGAGATTGACTGTTGGAGTTTGTTCTTTTCCTGCTTCTTTTTAAAGTTTCTGTTCAGTGTATACTATATTTGGTGTACTTTTCTATATAATGTTCATGGATGGGCTTAACATTTAAGTAGAGTGGGGAAGCTGCATCAGGACAGATGGCAGATCTGGGATGTCCCAAAGAGCAGCAAATTCTTATTCACATTATTATTTTTCACTTCAAGGAAGTGAGAAGGGGCACTTATGAGGATTTCTCAGTTTAGGTGCCAAACAACTTGCTTGGATTAACTCACACCATGACATGGGATGTTCTGCTTCTGTTCTGCCTCAGGCAGGACAATCTATTGGGAAGAGCCTGCATTTGTTTGTGAGTTTTAATTTATTAATTTACTGCCGTATTAGTGCACAAGAGATATTCTGGGTGGTTAACAATAAAAAAAAATCCAACAGGGCATAACATAAGAAAACGATACAATCATAAAATACAGAACAGACAAACCAAAATCAATTCAGCGTTATGCCACAATGCTTCCAAATAAAGCAGCAGGACAAAAAGGTGAAAAATTCAGGTGAGGTTGCATTTGAAGGTCTGTCTTCAGCAAGCAGCCCCTTAAAAATGGGGAATGGGCCAGATGCAGCTCGATCAGGAGTCAATTCCAGAAGGTTGGTGCCACTGCTGAGAAGGCCTGATGTCTCTCACTGATGACTTTCTGGCGTCGTTTAGCGTGGCCACCCAGAGCGTCCTTGCCTGGGAGGATCTGGGGGCCTGGATGGACTGGGGCTCCCCTGACTGCATTTGCTCAGGGTCAGCCCCTCCTTTACGTAGACTCGCAGGGGTTGCCAACCTTGAGTCCCCAGATGTTCTTGGACTAAACTCTCAGAAGTCTTCCCCACAAGCTGTGCTGGCTGGGGTTTTTGGGAGTTGTACTCCAAGAACATCTGGGGACCCAGATTTGGGAACCACTGACACGGTTGCCTCAGGCAGCTGGATTTGGATGTCAGCAAAGGACAAGAACTTGTTAACTATTTGATTTGCTATCATCACATTTTTATGCCGGAGATGCTCGAGAGATTACCTGCTTTGCTGGGCAGATAACTTGGCTAATTTTGGATGCTTTGTACCTCGTCCAGGGGTGGGTAAAGGGGGGTCCTCAGGCTACATATGTCCCGCCAAAAAGTTGTTTTTGTGGCTGTCATTGGTTTTCCAAACCTGCCCTTTTTTCAAGAAGGAAGCCACAACCTCTGGATCTCCCAGGAGGCAAAATTCCTTTCTAAATAGCCTGCCACTTCCCCATAACCATCCAGCCTCAACAATCACCTATTTTCCAAACTCTAAAGTTCACTTTGAATGACTGACTTTGAAATTATTATTATTATTTGAAACGACCAGCACCTTCCATCAAAATTATAAAAGCACTGACTGGGATTATATAACAGATACAAATTTTAACCAAAAACCTAAGTTATCTGTCAATAACCTGTGCAGTATGTATGTCTGTTGTTACTGTTCTTGTTAAAAAATACCAAAGTTTTTTTTAAAAAATGGACTGGTCTTATTATAACAGATACAAGTCTCAACTCAAACCCTTAGTATCTGTTAAATATCGGCTTAGTATGTATACTGTATGTTGTTGTTATTGGGAGTACTTTTGGTCCTTCAGGGACTCACCTCCTTTTGCGCCGTTGTGCCGCTTTGCGCAAAAAAAGGAGGCATGTTTTGAGGGACTTGTTTGTGTTTTTGTTGTTGTCGCTCTGTGAGGGAGAGGGGGGGGTCTCCTTCTTTTCCCCTGAGGGAAAGAGCCGCAAACCCCGACCGCGTGGCACCGATTCGCCCCCCCACAGAACCGCCGAGACTTCGGAGTCGCCCCTCAGACTCGACCTGGCCGCCCCTCCCAAGGCGTGTGACACGGTCACGTCTGAACTGAGACGGCCTCTCCTCCTCCTCCTTCCCAGAGATTTCTTTCCCTCTCTCCTCTCTCTCTCTCTCTTTTCCATTTTTTTTTTGGCGCGGGTCACATGAGAAAGGGGCGGGCGGGCCGGCCGAGGCGTCGGCTTCGGCGGAGCGGTCTGAGGAGAACGTGAGGCAACGGGCGGGCCGCCGAGGCGGTCGTGAGGGGGGAAGGTTTGCGCCGGAGGCGCCTTCGCTTCTCTCCCTCAGCGAGTCGTCCGCGCCGGGGCTCCTCATCCCGCTTCTCTCTCTCTCTCTCTCTCTCCCTTCGCCCGGTCCCAACATGGACGAAGACGGAGGCGGCGGCGGCGGCGAGAGCAGTGAGTGTCGGCTGAGGGGATTTGGGTTTTGGAGCTGGAAGGGGAAAGAGGAGGTGGCGGGGATCCGGTAATAGGGGGGCGAGAGGGAGCACAACCCCGCCGGACCCTCCTCAGGCGGCGGCGGCGGCGAGAGCAGTGAGTGTCGGCTGAGGGGATTTGGGTTTTGGAGCTGGAAGGGGAAAGAGGAGGTGGCGGGGATCCGGCAACAGGAGGGCGAGAGGGGGCACAACCCCGCCGGACCCTCCTTGGGGCTACCTCAGGAGTCCAGGAGGAAGAGCTTGAGAGACTCTTCGCGCGCCCCCCCTCCCAGTTTCCGCGCGGGAGAGGGTGCCTCTGAGCGTGTGCAGAGAGGGACTGTCCTCTGGTGTTTGTTCGTGTGCTCCTTTCTCCGAGGAGCCGTGGAATAATGGGTGGGTTGCCAGGGCAGGGTGCTTGCTGTTCACCTTTTTATCCCCGCCACAGCCCTGTGAGGTAGGACACCTCCCCCCCTCCCCCGGCAAGGGCTCGGGACGAGGCGTCCAGGGAGGATGGATGGATGGAAGGGAGCCCCAGATGTCCAGGATCTCTTCATTCAGAGGATCAGACATCCCCTCCCCTCCTCGCTTTCCCCAGATAAATACTGGAAGGGATTTTTAAAATCCTCTTCCAGCAACATGGCTCGCTTGTCATAATAGTGAAATATATTTTGAGTGGAAGGGAAATCGAATTGACAAGCCTTGGATTTGGAGATTTATTCCTTCCTCTCGGAGTAGCCAGTCTCTCTTGTTAGAGGCTTTGCCTCCTTTTTCCAGGACTTAAAACGGCACATCTCCCATGCACAAGTTTAGTTTTTCTTTTTCTTTTAAAAAGGCATCTTCTTGTTTTTGGGCTTGCAAATTAACAATAATGACGGGGAAGCCTCATTGCTGCTCCCCTAAGCCTGCATTCAAGCCTAGGAAGCAGCTGACCCCTTTAGGACAAAATTAACCACTCACTTATAATTACCGAATTTTGGATAGACTGTTTGATGGGCATCTGGATCCCCTCTTTGATGAGAATAGTAATATCCTTTTGCTCTCTGAAATGTCATGAATTGTCTTGTATCCTCTTCCTTTTGAGGTGGTGCTTCAGTTTTTTGGCAGATGTCCCGTGAGATGTGTTTTGTCTGAGTAGCTCAACACTTGTGCAGGTGTTGATTTTTTTCCCACCTGTAGGAGGAAACTCTTCAAGCTAGCAAATGCTGCCATATTTTGGGGCTAACGAGCAGTCTGTGGCAAGTGGCATAATTGCAATATTCCCCATCATTGCTATGCCTCGTTTGCTCCCCTCCCTTTGCTGTCAGGAGTATATGCTCCCCACAGACCATTTCCCTGCATGTTTGTATGATTTCATAATCCAGCAAGATCTCTGATCTCTGTGAGATCACACACAGTTTTAATTTGGTCATCTCACCTCATGCTTGTTGCAGTGACTGCTCTCTTACCTTGACTGGATTTGGATATATACCTTCCAAACCTTCTCATGTCTATTCTCTGTGGCCACTTAGACACAAGCCTCCCCCTTGCACGTGCATATTCCCAATGTGTTTTTGATTCTGCTCGTAATTACACACAATCCTCATTCATGAATGTTTCCCTTGGCCTCCATGCTATCGCCCACGGATTGCCTATTCACATATTTATCAAGGCCTCTTGGGGTAGGGTGGGGGACTGAGAGAAGTGAATATAATAAATTCCCAGATTAGATAATGAGGAATACTGAGTAGTTCCCAGATTATAACCTCCTGTATAAAGAGGAGTGTTGTTGAAGGAGGATCTGGGCTGATCTTTCTGACAAGGCAATACACTGCCTGATTTTGCTAATTCTAATGTAGGATTGCTAGTTGTACAAGGACCGCTCCATTCATTGTGGAGGACAATAGAAAACTCTGTTGTGGTGTACCCTCACTGTACGAATTCCCCCTTCTCAGTTTAGTTGATGAAAAGGTCAGCAGCTTTGGGGAGAGGAAAAATGAATGCAGAGTGTTTAAGGATGGTGTGTCAATGGTTGGAGAAAGCAATTTATTAATGCAAGATGAGGCTTGAGTATAAAGATCTTATAGAAAAGGGTGAAGACTGTCTTGGGGATGTTAGAAATGGAATAGAGATGCAGTGGATAGTTTTCAAATGGTTGATTCATTCCAGTAATGTTTAATGTCGACAACAAATTGTTGGTTCTTGCTTCCAGATACAGTGAAATCATTGTCTATTTTATGCTACTGAAATGTCTTCATGCCTGAAAATCTGAATATACTTTGCTATTTGATAGAAAGAGCTTTTTTTGCACCCTTTTCGCACTGTTGCTATCTTATTCAAGGTGCAGCAGGAATTGCAGAGTGGTTTATCCAGTTTCAGTTAGCATACAGTTTCCATAGACATTTGCTTCAATGTTTGTAAACACACCTATTTAATAACCATAATGATATATATCTCATAGTATCTTCCAGTACAGTACTTGTGGTCTTTCTGGCTGCTGCTATATTATATATGCCTTTGTTATTTGAACTTCAAATACAGTTTTCAAGCAAAAGGTATTGGGTCTGTTTTAGATGTATTGTAAACGTGTGATTGAAGTCTTTGTCTCATCAGCTTATGCTCATTATTAATAAAACCACAGACTTAGCTGTTAACTCATGTAATTTCAAGGTAAGACTTTTAATCAAGAAGTGTTGAGGCAAAGTTTGTGTTCATGTACATTTTCATACAAATATGTACTAGTTAAATGTTGCATGACTAATTGTTGTATTATGATTGCTATTACCAAGAGTAAAATGTTCACATTCTGAAACCAGAAGGGTGTGGTTTGTTTATCTTGACTAGAGTTAAAAATATTTAAGATGAATCAGGGACATGTTTCAGGAAGGCACCCTATAAACAAGCAATGCTCCCATTAACATTTCTTGTTAATTATTTCCTCAGCTGTTTCAGTCAGCAACCAGATTAAGGCTATTATATTAAAAAATAAGAAATGTGCACAAAATTGATTTAGGCTACTTCTATTTTCTGTCAGATGGAGAGAGAGAGAGTGAATAAGCAGACAAAGGCGTCTGTTAGACTTTGTATTTCATACTCTTCGGTATAATTCACTATATTTTTACAAGTAATTTCTTATGTACAGATTAACTTATCTAATTTCAACAAATAACTTGGTTCCTTTGAGGTTCTGTCCTCCTTTCTCTCACTCTTGTATTCATGCTCTCTTGATATTCCCTTCTTTGAGTTCCAAATGATATTGGGCAACAGGGAAAGATGATGGGCAACAAGGAGAAGAGTGATTGGTGATTATTCTCTACCTCTGAAGTGCATTTCTTTGGAGCTGCAGTTTCTTAAGCGTCCATAAAACACAGTATTGTTAAAAACCAATGGCCAAAAACCTGTTGCTTAGTGTGGTAAAAGTCTCAACCAGAATAGACCCATTGAAGAAGTGGAACATATGGAGAAGTTGACTTACCAAATCCCCACTAATTCAGTGAGTCTACTCCAGTTGTTATTTTTTACTCTAAGCAACAAAATTTTAGCCAATATATTGTCATGGGTGGAGGAATTTACAGTAACATTAGTTTTACAGTTCTTGAACATTTCAGTTTTTGTACATTTCCAGTTGTTAAATGTTCACTGGACTGAAACTATGGGAACTGAAAATGCTGTTCTGTTTGCTGAAAGATCTATCGATCTTTACAAAAAAGATTGTGAAGCATTGTTGGTTGTCTGGTGTACTGTCAGCATTGCTTAAGGTTTGTTTTGGGAATGCTATCTTCTGATATATAAGCAGCGAATATGTATTGCTTGATTTTTATAGTCCTCTGGACCTGAATAATAATAAAGGTTAGTGCAGAGGTGGGCAACTTGCGTCTCTTTAAATTGTTGCTGCATTATAATTTATATCACTCCTCACCGTGGGCTATACCAATGGGGATTGCAGGCCAATAATGTCTGGGATGCCACAGATTGCTTACCCTTTTTGTAGAAACTACTAGTCTTTGAAGAATGATACTAGTATTGCTTCTAGAGACAACTCAATGCTTTTAATTGCCCCTTTGAGCTCACAGTTCTAATATTGCAAGGAGATGCCAAATAATTGGCCTGTCCTTCAGTTAGATCTAGATCTTCATTCACAGTAGAACATAAATTGGTAGTCTTCATAATGAGCATGAAGGATTATTTTCATCTTGATCTTATATCCTGAACTTGAGTTAGCAGTGTTGTTTGGGTATACGTAGCTACAGTGTCTTATCAGTGATCCCTAACCTTGGATAAACCAAATGTTCTTGGACTGTAATTCTCAAAAGCCTTTGCTATTAGCTGTGATGGCCAGAGTTTCTGGGAATTATAATCCAAGAACATCTGGGCTACTAAAGGTTGGGAATTACTGTCTTAAATGATATTAATTTTTTATAGTTATGCTGTAACTGCTGAGCCAGCTGGAACATCTTTCATATGCTAGTTTCGTGTCATAGTTTTAAGCAAAAAGCGATCCATAGTAGCGCCACATCTTAGTGTGTGCAGTCAGAAAAACAGAAGGAAAAAGACAAAATATTACTATTTTGCTGTGTAGAAACACTAGAATAGTAGAAATGACAACATATTGTTTCCAGTTTAGAGTCCCTGCATTGATTTTAGGTTTTATGTGACTATGCACAATGAGACAAAGTCATGCACAGCAAAAAAAAAAGGGGGGGAAGCAGGAAGTCTTTAATTAGCTGCAATCTGTCACTGCTGGTGACATCTTTCCCCATGTGCTGCCATAGCTATAGAGCAGGATTTGGGCCATAGAAACAAATATATTTATCATATTTTTATGTAAAACATCAGAGTTAAAAGTGGCTGGAAAGGTTAAAGCTTACTAATGCAGAATTAAATTGAGTTCTAGGTTTATTTTGCTGTTTCCTTCTTCCTCTGAATTTCACAGTCTGCCTATTTCAAATTAAACCATGTTCTCTAACTATGTTTGGCATAAGAACAAACTGCTTGGAAAAGTTACTTTTTACAATATACTTCCCAAATTATTCTTCTTAGATATCAGGTACTGTACTTTAAACGAAGTAAGTTTTCAAAGCTCTGCGCTGTTTCGTTCTTGCAATACTTGGCAAAGTATGTTTTGTCATAGAAATGCTTACT